AACCAATGCGCGAACCAATCGCGAAAATCGCGAGCCAATGTCATAGAATGAAGAGACTACGTCAGTCTCTTTATTCTATGCCGATGCATAGACAGATTTTCCAGATTTTCACATCCCTGAGTGAGTAGCCCGGCAACGGATGCACGAGTCGGAGCTCGCAACAATCATGGCGCGGCGTTTCCAACAGCGCGACGCCGAACTCGTTCCATCTTCCTCGCACTCGTTGGATGCTTAACTCCATCCATCTTCCTCGCACCCGTTGCGCGTACCAGAAGAACACACGTAAAATTTATCAGCTGTCTTCCAGCGCGAGCCGCGGAACTTGCTCCATCTCGCTCGCACTCTCTCTCGCACCCGTTGTCCTTACGGGAAAATCGACACACGCGGACCGCGATATCCCGCGAACCGGCGGGCGGATCGCGAAATCCTCCCTTATCCGGCGCCTCGGGGTAGAGAGGGATCCCAGTGCGGAATCTCAGGGTCACACGGCCTCCCGTTCACGAGATCCGCTGATACGTGAGTGAGTGAGTCAGTCAGTGAGTGAGTCAATCAACGTGAAGTCTGCTTTATTAGTATAGAATCGCTCCATCTCGCTCGCACTCTCTCTCGCACCCGTTGTCCTTACGGGAAAATCGACCCACGCGGACCGCGATATCCCGCGAACCGGCGGGCGGATCGCGAAATCCTCCCTTATCCGGCGCCTCGGGGTAGAGAGCAGGGATCCCAGTGCGGAATCTCAGGGTCACACGGCCTCCCGTTCACGAGATCCGCTGATACGTGAGTGAGTGAGTCAGTCAGTGAGCGAGTCAATCAACGTGAAGTCTGCTTTATTAGTATAGATTAGTGGCGACGTCATCATAGGGATTCTCCATTATATCGAATTGGATCCAAACAATATCATTGGCATAACCTCTTTCAATGCTACCAATGCGGAAAAATCGATAGATATCGCTTTTCTGTGACGTTGCACTAATAGCGTCTATTGGACTGATATGTTAGAATCCTTTATTGCATGCTCTGCTAACGTATAATACATGAAATTGCATTGATTTTTCACTAGGAATCTGAATATGAGCTTAAATCTGGGATATCTTGCGTTTTAATTTATTTAAAATTGTAGGAGAAATGACAGGGGGGATCTTAAACATTTCTCAAGCAGTGGTATATTTTTGTTTGTTGTTTTTTTTCTTCTACTAGGACTACCATGAGAATGAAAAATGCTGTGTCCTGTTTCCATTATTTAAACATTTTGCTCATGAAATAGGTATGATGAAATTAATTAATAAATGATCAATGAAAACCACCGAGTATTATTTTCTTGACCCTTCTGCACAAATTGAGCTTGGTGCAAACTTAAAAAAGGAAAAGGAAAGTCATTTTTCAACATTATACCTAAGCTCCTCCCTACCCTCACTTTTCCCTCAAAAGGTACCTCTCCTTTTCTGGGTACCTTCAGTTATTACAAACTGTACGAGTGAAATACAAAATTTTCATCTCCCTTCCTCTAAAGATAATTGAGTAACTTTTTCAGGAACCAGGTACGTATGAATTGATAAGGCATGAAACAAACCTTGAATGCCATGAAAGCTTCCTGTGATCTTCTGCGATTATCCTTTGATCGGTTGTTACAGCGGATGCTAAACGAAATACCATGGGTTTTTTCCCCAGAAGATTCACGATTTTAAATTCACATTATGTAGATACAGGAATAAACACCATTATTCACGCACGCGTATAAAAGAACGACGATACGGAAGAAGGAAACTGGTAGGTAAGAAAGTGATGAAAAACATAACTTATTATTACCGTTTAATAAAGAATGCCGAGCGCTGACATTTCGATGAACATTAAGAACTATCACTGTCATATCGTAAAATTTCCTTCAAGACGCAAAATTGTGGCGAGAAAATGTAAAAAACACGGAAAATTTGCGAACAATGCAGCTAATCTCCATGCAAACACACACGCGTTTGTTTTGTTGTTTCACGGGTTCACGCGCCCTCACCGGTGCAAAGTCGGCGCTCCACATTCAACTATAAATTGTTCTCAGTAGGAAGTTGTGCCTACCCTGTCTATTGAAGGCTAATCTGATCGCAATGTAATTATTATAATTTAACCATTTATTTTCCAAATCACGTAAGCGCCAATCTCTATTTTATAGTAGAAGGGTTGTTTTTTCTTTGTCACCTCTGTTATAATCAATCATGTCTGATTTCAAAAGAATGGAAGCATGGAATCCGATTTTCCGGTCTAAAAAACTTCCGCACGAGTCCGCTGGTTCGCGCGACCGGCGAATCATACTGCTATGCTAAGGAAGAACGCCGTATGAGCCTTCAGACGTTGCCAAATTTCTTTCGATAAAAACCGAATTCGTGCTGAGAAAAATTATTAACATTTTTTCCCAAAATTTTCAGACAATTTTGTACGCAATTTAATCTAATATGTCTGAAAGCTTCAAGGGAAAATGTGCATAAGGTTTGTGAAAAATAAATGTTTTATCGAGGGAACTTTGGCAACTCTTGAATGTTCATACGGCTTTCTTCCTCATCACGGCAGAGTATGAGTGTCATTAAATAATTAAAAATGGTAAAAATACCTAGATATTCCACGGTGCAGGAAGCTCCGCGGCGAGTCTCATTGACTCTATGTGCTTCAAACTACATACGTCTAGAAACTTATATCGAAAGAAATGTCTCGTCCAAAATCGAGAAAAATTGATTTTAATATGTACCTAATTCCTGATTTATCAGAGATTTTTGCCATAAAGTTATTTGACTTCTCCATTTTTTTCTTTCAGTACCTATACCTACTTAGGTATAATAATTTTTGTGTGATTTCTCTTACATGTTCTTTTCACAAGGAATTTTAAGCATAGGGAATTAGAGAATCTAGAAATTTGATTGCATTTTGCAAGAAGGAACCATCAAGAGCATTCCGATGTCGCTAAGATTGTGCAACTTCCTTTACCTTCCAAACATAAATTAATCATCTAAACAAGTTTCATCTTCACTCATGACAAACTATGATTTTAAAACTGAAATTACCTTTATGAATTAAATTTGATGCAAAGAATGTACCTAAGTTGCCCTATCCTAGCAACATTGGAATGCTCTTGGATCTTTTTGGCAAAATGCAATCCAACAAAAGAAAAAAGAAAAAAAAATGCAATAATTTGGCAGACAAAAAAATGTCAAGGTTCCACAACAAGATTCCCTGATTCTTCAGGGTTGGAAAAACTTCCTCATATTTCAAGAACTTGTTTCCTCAATGACATGTTATTAGAGGATGAAATAATGATGAACATGCGACTGATTAAGTCTTGCTCAATTCCGCCTGATCATGTAATTTTTAAGTAATTTTAAGTTGAATCAGAGTATCAATTATAGCAACCCTGAAAAGAGGCAATGAAGGCCAGGAGAAGAGGCAGGTAAGTAATTTTGATGTTTAAAATAATAATTCAAAATGAGTCTATGACACTTTTCAACTTGGAAGCAGCTTGCCTTACTTTCAAATGCACTGCACGATACACCCTGGGGACGAATCTTGGCTGCGCTGTTTTGGTATTTTTTACTTGCATTTTAATAGTTTATTAGAGAACTGCCGCAAGAATTTTTCTGAAATTTTTTTTACCCATGAGAAAAGAAACTCTAAAATTTTCAGACTAATTCATGCGGCGGTTTTCCAATGAAAAAATAAAATATTTTGAGAAATACTGAAACAGCCCAGACAAGATACATTCTTTTGTGCTGGAGACAATGAATACTGAGCGATTAGGTGAGGGTGATCTTGAAAACAAGCCTGTGTTTTCAAGAAAAAAGTTTCAATTAAAAAAAAGCTAATCAGCAGCCCCGAACATAATCCCACTGGGACAATCTACAAAACTATCTGAGAAAGTATAAAAAGCACTCGTCACAGTTTATACTAAGAAATTGAATATAAAAAAATTAAAGTCAGAAAAAAACAATAAAAAATGTTTATTAAAATTAAGACAATTGTTACAAAAAAGAAAAATCTTGATCTCAACTTGACTTTAAAAAAATCAAGTTTCTAATCTAAGACTTTCAGTTTTTCCACAAATTAGGCACATGACCAAAAATTGGTTGCAGGCCTAGCGCAAATGTACAATTTTCGTGTTGCTAATCCTTACTGATCGGCAAGCAAACATCATTGTCACTGTAAGTTCTGAGATATCTAAAGCTGCAAGAAAGTACACAAAATGTCACCATAGACTCGATTTTGATGGTTGGATACACGACAGTTATCAAGTGAAGAAAATGAAACAGGGAGACAAACAACAAGTTTACACAAACCGTTAAAGAAACAGCTCAGTTAATGTTAGTTTGCTTCCCGTTCGATTAATCTCAGATACTCAAACAGCAAAGCAATTAATCAGAAACAAAAACTTATCTCTTTGAGAGAAGTTATTCCATGTGACTCAGTGATGCTAGGATACAATGTATACAACATATTTTACAGGAAATACCACGATTAAGTTAATTTGATTGAAAATTTTGTACGGAGTTACAAATAGTTTATCTCATCCAAAATTGATAGTGAGTCAGTGATGAGAGATGGCTCTAACAAAAAGCAAGAAAGGAACTTGATAAACAGGATATTTGATGCAAGAAGCTAGAAGCTATAAGTACCCTGAGATTTGTATCTTTAGAAAAGGGCAGTAAATTCCTACTTGAACTAAATTGACCCATTATTTTTCATACAAGAAACATCAAGACTAAATAGGAATTAGATAAAAAGATAATTAGAAAGGCCTGATTCTTCAAAAATTGGGAAAGTTGTAGGTTACAGGTGTATGAGAAGATTAACTTCAATTTGAGATTGAACTTCGTGCTGTTATTATAAAACTAATCTCGCTTCTACTTTCTCTATTCAAAAGTCAGACCAATGATAAGTCTTTCCTCATGTTTCATAACTGTATTGAAAATATCAGTACATTTAGATGGAACCCATCTTTTCATACTACACCTGATCACAACTACTTTATAAGTACGTAATTTAACTTGCTGATTGAAGTTAATGATAAAAACGATGATCATTCAGAGAAAAATACTACCTGAGTTCCTATAAGACCAAAAGTCAAACTTGATGCCCCATCCTTTAATACGTACCTGATCATTTAAATTCAGATCCATGAGAAAAGTATAATACGTGAAAGAGACAAGTTTTTGCGCCCGTCGGCTAACTCGATATTACAAAAAAATGAAAATCAAATAGAAAATAAAAAATAAGAAAAAAAGAAATATTTAGAAAATATGAAAATAATCAATTAAAAAATATGTTAAAACTGACGATCTGAAATTTTAAATTCATCTCCCAAAGCAGGTTTCATTGTTTTCAGTTTTTCGGATTAAAAGAAGTTCTACGAACAGTGATAGTGCACGCAGACAGCAAGGATTACAAAGTTACAAAGAAATTACTCTTTATCTCTCAAATTTTCCAGCTTGTGTTAACTTTTTCCCCTGTTTCCATAACACCCACAATGGTGTGGAGATGAGATCGACTAAAAATCAATCAGCTGGTATGGTTGACAAAATTTTATTGACAAATGTGAACTTCGATTGAGGTCTTAATGCGAAACTTTTTTCACTACATTTATCGTCATGTTTGATAATTTACCCTTCAATATACAGCAAATGACAGAAGTTACGAACAAAATCACCAAGTACGCTTCCTTCGAATATGTACCATTTTGGGAGGGAAAACAAACAGCCTTTCATAGCCATCAAACATTCACTTTTAACAGCTAAAACAATTTACTGAAAAAATGCAACTTAGATACAATTTTCAGGGTTCTAAAAATTGAATGATGGATACAAAACGTCAAAAGAAATTTTTACCTATACTTCACCAATTTCGTCTTCATGATCTTTGGTGCTTGGCAAATTTCAAAATTTATGTAAAAATCATGCAAGATTTAGGTACATATGAGGATGTTAAAAGCACAAGGACCACAATGCAAAGAGGAATAGGACCATTTACACTAGAGAAATTAACGTTTTTAACAGATGAGAGGCCTTAGTAAAACGTATCATTTTGGGCTAGACATTAGTGTAAATTAGCTGGCATTTTGTTTCTTAAAATTTCGATAACTCTGGGCATTAGAGCTGAGCTTTTGATCCAGTATTCGTTGACGATGAAACTGTAGTTACACATATTTTGTTTGTATCTGTTCAAAATCTCTGCTTCCATTTTATTTCAACAGAGGAAAACATGCTAACGCTAATGCTAAAAATTTTCACAAAATGTTTTTCATATACACAATAGAAATCAGAGAACTTTTCAAGTGATGATGTTGAATATATTTCCATAAAAAAAAAAAATAAAGCCTGACAGGAAGTCTGAGATACTGTAAACCAATACGCGTTCCTACAGTTTCACCATTAATATTGAACTTTTTCAATTGAATTTTAGTACAGTTAGGTACAACAAAAACCCTAAAAGAATAAAGATAATCAAGAACTAAAGTAAAGTGCAATGAATTCCAATTTCAGGTGATCATGAGCAGAAAACAGCAGGCAAATTACAGTGAAAAAAGTTAGCAGTGTCAAAACCTGAGTTAGACTACATTTGAAATAGGGAACTACCATCTCCAGCTCAGTTCGGAAACAATATACGGCTAATTATTCTCCTATACAGATACATGCTTTTATAGGCGAGTCGGAAATTATAGTTCTCTATTGCAAAATGCAGTCAAGTCCATTGTGAGTAGGTGGGAACCGGGTTGCAAGTAGAAAAATTAGAGGATGCTGCCGGTAAAAATCGACAAAATCAAAAATGCAACAAAATAAAAAGTAAGTTCTCAACTAATAGAAGTGCTAAAACTAACATTTCCTTGTAATATTAAACAACACCAGGAATGTTCACCCGATGATAAACCCACAGCCTATCCTAATTTGATTCTTTGTATGATTCATCATACCGCTCAACGCAAACGTGAAAGGTAAAGGGGAAAGTCGTTTCTCTAAAACAGCTCCGACATTCCAATTGGTGTCCAAAGTTCCTGAAAGAAAAAAGAGAAAAGGAATATTGAAACGAACATCGTTGGAAGGCAATGTAGAACAGAAACTTTGTTGCATCAGATACATATCAGATTCATCATCCGGTCATCACTCCACAACAATAAACATTCTTTTTTACACCCTCATGTTCTTCAAACACTTTAGTATTGTTTGAGCATTTCATTCTTAATTTAAATTCCGATTACATTGTTTCTATTCTAAATATGTACAGTGCTTAAGTCTGACTTCAAATATAAATGTTGGTATAAGTCCCCTGTGCACCACTTGAGATGGTACAAAATTAAATACCACAATCTGTTTCCTTACTAAAATTTTACATACAATACGATGGGCACATTAAACATTAAAAATTCTCAAATTCAACTCATAAATTGAAAAGTAATTGTTTTAAAAGAGTGATTTTCCTTTGTGCTAATTTTTTCTTAAAAAGATAGATAGTATATCTCCAAGATCTTTCACCAACTCCAAACCCATCAATGCTGATCGAATGGCCCAACTTGACAGTGAACATGTCAAATTACATATATCTACTAAATGAGGCCGGTATTTTGAAACCGCAACGATCCCATTTTTTACACTATGATTTCAGGAATTTTCTGATGACTAAAACCGACTTCAATGGATTACTTAGAAGAGTATCCGGAGAGACAATAAGAAAAATTCTTCTTGTTACTGATAAAAAAAACTCACTAAAAGCTTGCACTATACCACTCGAAGGAAGCAAAACACAGAAAAATGTTATTTGCATTGCAAAGGACATACCCTATCTCCAGCAAGATTGTTTTTCTGGTAACGGCTTCTGGTAAGAATGACTTCATCACTGATAAGCAAGAAATTTCATTTCTAATTTAAATAAATAAACAGAGACAAATAGAGACCGAGCACGTTGGATTTTCAGTGAGGCACATCTAATTCTCGGGGATCCAACGGAACAACAGTCATGTATTTTTTGATTTCGCCTAATGTTGACTGATGCTGGTCGGCTGTTGGCATTATGGCGGCTTGTTTACATTTTTCCTAATCAATTGCAAAGCGGAACATGTTCCAATTTTTCCTTTGAAACTCTTCCAAATTGTCATAAAATGACTTATTACTAGGTAATAAATTAATTCACCCCTTTTACTCAACAATTGTGATACTTTCGGTGGTTTCACTTTATGTAGTGAGAAGCAGATTCCTCGAGACTCTGAGCCTGGTCCTCAGATTGTTTAACTTCTTAATGGATAATTTTAGTTTTCGAACTTTTTTTTGACTTTAAATGGTGTATAATTTTTTCTAGACAGTATTAATACCTTGTGATCAAATTCTCAATCTATTAACCTCCATATCATGCCGCAGGATAGAGATATCTTAGCTATCGGAGATCTGTCAAGAATCTGATCACAGCTGCACTGCCAGTCTTACAGATACACTGTAATGAAATTTGATGAAAAAAATTTACTGTCTATGTCATAAGCTGCTCATTATGATAAGTATTAATCGTGGATCAAATGTTTGATGTCTCCAACATCCTATCTCTAAGCCTGATGTACTGCGTTGAAAGCGGAGTTTTATGGCTGCGAAGCATCGATATTTGTTGTTGAGGAGGCGTGTGAATGAAATGTTTGGATAAGCTTGCAAGCTGTACGAATTCTTTTGTGTATGGAAAATAACTGAATGTCCAGAATTCTAAACATCTGACCGTATCTCAAGTACCTAAAGGAAATGTTGGTCAGGTCAGAGTTTGTGAATCCTTGGCAGCAGTTAATGCAATTCTTCTACGTATTTAACAACTTCGCTCATCAAAGTTAGGTAAGTAAGAGACCGCTCAGATCCATCATATTATGCTTGTATTAGTCCATAACTCCATAACGCAAAAAATCCTTGGAGGGTGAAATGCCCGTCATCTGATGGAGTTCGTGAGATTTGTTTATGAACTTTTCTTCCTGATTTTTCTCTCAATTTTACCAGAATTGTCTCTTCCACCACCATCATAAAGTATTCCAACCTTGCATTAAATGAGGAATGATGTATACGCTATCAACTTTGCCTTAGAATTCCTAAAATTGGGAGTCGTGAAACAAATAAAGTAGCTTCACCGTTAACATTTGCTAGCTTAGTTGGCAGTAAAACTCTCATTAATTCGGTGAAAATAAAAGTAAATGTTTTTTCTTCGCTCATTTCGATAAGAAAACACATTGAATACATATAAATTGTGATACTGGATGCAACTAATACTACTTCCTGTAAAATTGGAAAAATGTGTAACTCGAATAAAGGAAAGAGGATCTCACCAGGGTGCTCTCTTACAATTTATAGATCAAAATTCGTGATATTTTCAACCTTAAAGGTTCTTTCATTATTCAGAAATAAAGAAACTAAGTTTAGTTTGAACAGGCATCTTTCAAGAGAGAAATGTGACAGCTCATTTACAGTTTTTAACTTTTTCATAATGCTTCGAATCTACCTCTTGACGAGAACAGGCGAAGATTCGAACCGCGCACTACTTGTTGTTGGTTTACATTTCTCACTTACCAAACTTTAATGCGCAAAGTTGTTAAGTCTGTAAGAGAATTTCATTAACTGCTGCCAAGGATTCATAAACTCTCACCTGACCAACATTTCCTTCGGGTACTTAAGATACGGTCAGATGTTTAGAATTCTGAACATTCAGTTATTTTTCACACACAAAAGAATTTGTACAGCTTACACGCTTATCCAACCGTTTCATTTACACGGCTCCTCAAAGACACATATCGACACTTCGCAGTTGTAACGCTCCGCGTTCAATGCATTACATCAGGCTTCGAGATGGGATTTTGGAAACAGAATTATTTACAGAAAATTATCTTGAAAAAATTATACACCATTTACAGTCAAAGAACATTTTGATAAGTAAAATAACCATCCATAAGGAAGTTGAACAATCTGAGGACCAGGCTAAGTCTCGAGGAATCTGTTTCTCACTGCATGAAGTGAAACCACCATTGTATCACAAATGTTGAGTAGAAGGGGTGAATTAATTATCTACTTGGTAAAAAGTCATTTTATGACAATTTGGAAGAGTTTCAAAGGAAAAATTGGAAAATTTTCCGCTTTGCAATTGATTAGGAAGAATGTAAACAAATCGCCATATTGCCAACAGCCCACCGGATGCGACTAGCACCAGTCAACATTAGGCGAAATCAGAAAAATGATGACCGTTGTTTTTTGGAATCTGCGAGAATTAGATGTGCCTCACTGAAAATACATAGGCGGAATAGGGCGTGCTCGGTCTCTATTTGTCTCTATAAATAAATGACAAATAAAATTTGCCACCTCTGCCTTTGTAAGAAATTCGAGTAAAATGATAAGCATTACCTTTGAAGCTAAGATCAGCTTTAGGAATATCGACTTGATAGCCGAATGAAGCAGTGGAGTCCATCATTCTAAAATTTGTGTCTAATTCCACGCCCAATTGCAACTGATCACTAGCACGCTGATAGTAACAAAGATGGACACCGCTTTGGCCAATAGTTCCACTTGCTACATAATCACTACCTGTTAAAAAAAATTCAATGTTATAAATTCCTGAGATATTACTTTATCAAACATAAAATGCTCAATAATCGGGAAGTCCCGGGTTTGATTACCGGTCAGGTGATCCGAGTTGGATATTTCAAGTGTGAAGAAAAGGAAGGAAAAAAAAAAAAAAACAAGGCAAAATTTTGAGTTCTTACTTTGCGATACTTATTAATTATGATGATATTAATCAAATTTCATCAAAACCAAAGATTCTGCTAAGCTGAGGCCACACACTAAATGGCAATCAAAATTTAAGAGTGCAGTTTCTTTAAACTTACAAGGAACAACTACACTTCTGAACAGAAACGATAGATGCTACACTGGCAACTTTTCTTTTATACCTAACAATCAGCAGGGTTTTCATGATTTCTTCCTTTTCCATTCCCTAAATTTACTTACCTGCTTTTGCTTTTCCCTGACTTTTTCTGACCTTTTAACCCATTGACTTATGAATTAATTTGACCCTGGAGAGCCAGGAATTACGATTTAATTTGGCGAAAATCAGCAACTTTGAACACTTCAAAATAATCCAGAAATTATTTCTCAAAGGGTGAAAATTGACAAAATAAGCATTCACAATACAACGTTTGAGAAAAATGGTGAAAACTTTGAACACAATGATTTTTAATGTGGTTTATAGCTGTCAAAATCGCAAAATCAGCGAAAATCAGAAAATTTTGAGGTTATTTCATGTGCATACGCACAGTAATATGAAAATACCGTAACAAAACAAGAAATTACCGTACACAATAAGTCATAGGGTGGCCCCACTACTCATATAAACATTGATGAGAACGCAATCTACCGGAGAATTGCCAAAATAACGCAAACAATCAGCGGACGGCTCTGAGCCGTCATTTCAGAGCTGGCCCAGCGCTGCGATGACGGCTGGGAGCCGTCATTTTAAGTCAATGGGTTAACAAGACTTTCGCTTAGTATTATTTCTTTGCTGACTTCTTGCAAAACTTAGAATGAAATTTTCACTTAGAGTGATTCAAATTTTGAAAAAAAGCACTTAGAAGAAGTTGTTCTAACTTTCTCACATGGCGCCAATTACTGAGGTTGCCAAGCAAATGTGCTACTTTCACAATTCTCTGACTTTCCCAGATTGCCGTTTTCTTCCTAGGTTATTCAAATGATCAGAAAGCTACAATTGGACGTATTTCCGTCAAACGGAACTAAGCGCCAAATTGAGTTCTTTTCGAGGATTTTAGAATCCCAGATAGCGTGTTCTGTCAAACGGATCAAGCGCCATGGAAAAGCATTGCAAGTATAGGATGGAACAAGAAAAATCTTGTTCCGCAACACCTGCTAATCCAAGCCCCCCTCTCTCTTCCTCTCCCTATGGCGCTTAGTTCCATTTGATAGAAATACGTCCAATTGATGTAAGTTGACACAGACATACATTTCTGCAGAAACAGCCCAATCTTGCAATCCTAGGATCGCAGCAAATTTGAGACAAATCTTGGGTCTTGAGGCAATTTATAAAGATGATAACCTTTTTTGACCTTTCTTTGCTCAAAATTACACACTTTGTCATAGAATTGGGTATTTCACTGTAAAGTTAAACTTTTAGCCACAAGGCAAATTTGAAATATGAGCGTGAGGTAAAAACATTGTATCAAGGAAGACTTTACTTAAGGTGATTCGTCAACCTCAAGTGACGTGGTCAAACTGGCATGCGATATATTGAATTAATTGGGTCAAAAATCTCAGCAGATTTTGATTTTTAGCAAAAAAAAAAAAGCTCCTGCGCACAAACCAAAAAGTCATTCTAAACCCAAAAGTCGGCAAAATTCAGAGAAATAAAAGCAGAATAGTGTGTGGAAAAAAACCTCGCATTGGATACAGAAATTGGTAGCTGAATCGAATGCGAGGTTTTTTTCCGAACACTGTTCTGCTTTCATTTCTCTGAATTTTGCAAATTTTTGGGTTTAGAATGATTCTTCAGGCTCATGCGCAGGGGCTACTGTCCTTCTTTTTTCTAAAAATTCAAAATCTGCTAAGATTTTTGACCTAATCAATGCGATGTATTGCATGCCAGTTCAACCACGTCACTTGAGCTTGACGAATCACCTTAAGGAACTTTTTACACCCCTTTTAGTTTATGAAAAAAGTTATAGCATACCTGTGTACTTAGCTGCCCCTGACACAAGGGCAATATGTCCACCAGGGATCTGCGGACTGCATTGATAGGCAAGTTCAGCACCAAGAGCAACATTACTGGTCACAGATTGTAAATAGTGGGCAACTAAAACGGCTGAACCATTGATTATGTCAGGATTCCCGATCGTCAATGAGGCAGTGTAGTCATCTCCACGATAGTCTCCTGTTAGTTGGGCTATCCCCATCTTACTATCTTGAATCTGAAATTTTAAGATTGACACTTGTGTTAACATGGCAGGGAATAGGTAAAAAATATGTGAATGTAAAGCAGCTTTTCAGTTAAAGGGTGCTTTAGTGAGTCATTTGACGTGAGAGTTTTTGTAAGCACTGTTAGTATGTATAAGCCTTGGAGGACGCCCAACAGTCTTTTCTTAGACTACATTAATTCAGATTTGATGGGATGTCTCTCTTCAATTATGCAACTTGTGCATGTAAATTTTACTGTAAGCCATACTAAATGCTCCGAAAATTAATAGGTACATGCAAGTCAATCCTGCCAATGTTTTTAAATTTGTTAGGACCTCAAAAAAAAAAAAAAAAACCTCACTCTTTAGAACTAAAAAATAGTTATACAAGAATTTTTCTCAGTGTCGTTGAAAAGAAAAGTAGCTAAAAGAAACTTGAGTACAGAGTTTCCGTAATTTTCTTTTCAATGACTTTTTTTGACTTTTTCTTGATTCAAAAATGTTTCAAATTCCCTGATGTGTTTTGGATTTTCTGATACTTAAATTCCTTTCTTTGAGAACCTTTTTTCTTGGCTATCTCTGGTCAAATTATTCTTCATTAGAGGTGTTGTCAGCTAAGTTGACGGTTGTTTACTTTCGGTTTGCAGGCGTTTTTGCGTCACTACTATCCACATGAAAACATCTGGCTCTCTCAGAAGCAAGAACACAAGCTTAGATAAGTTTTTGAATACTTTCAAACCTTGTAACACTATAATTTTTAGCCACATAGAAATTACAACCACAAAAAAATGCAAAAAAGTCGCAAATCATAACTGATAAGTAGTTTTTTTCAATCATGAGACTGATGTTTTCCATGTGGATAGTAGCAAACGCCTCTTCGTTCAGAGGCCCAAATTCGTCGTCAGCGCTTGCAAACCGAAAGTAAACAACCGCCAACTTAGCTGACGACACCTCTAATACAGCACAAATGTTAAAAACACGCATTAACTTATTAATTTCAGCACACAAGCTTGTTTCTTTTTCTAGATCATTAAATTGTTCTTCCACAAGCTGTCGGTTCTGAAAGTATTTGCTACCTTGATCTTCGACATATAAAGTCTACACCAAATAAGTTCACACACTTTTAGAGTGTAGCAGAAGATCTGACATTTTCATTATTTTATTTACTCTCAACTCTAAACTGAAGATATTGATCTCCTGTCTTACTCTAGAAGTGCTTAAACTTACTAGGCTTGGTCTCTATTCCACATTAACAGAAATAACCATTAAAAAAAGCTGATAATCACCTGAGTACTAAATTTAAGCCTGAGTCTTTCACCGACAAGATGTAAAATATTAGCATTTAGATTTCCACTGGGATCAATATCACCGAGCAAAACTGGAAATGCTTCAGAAGGAGATACTTGTTTTGAGCCGACATAGGTTGCACCGAATCGGTAACCAGATGGAGTTATAGCACTCATGTTGATAGTGTGGGACACCTGAAAGTGATTACTCAGTCCTTTGTTCACTATGAATTTAGCTCCTTCAAATGGCACAGGGAAGACATCTGGAAACATAACGAACAAATTAAAACCCGCTTATAAAAACTAACAGGTCAGCAAAGATCATATTAGACCATCTGCAAGATATGTACTTAGGCAAGGTGGGAGAGGTATGAAGTAAAAAGTACTGGTCAGGCGATAAAAGATGCATTCGTGATAGACAACGGAGATTATTTCGGTAAATTACCCGCATAGTTACCCACTGTAAAACTGAGGCCTAAGTACTTTCGCGTGACTTTGTTTACATCCTCAATGCTCAATCCATTCACCAGCCGCAAGAGGTTCTGAGCTATTGCGGTGAGCATTGCACCGCCATGACACTTCACCGGGTAAAAAGCGTTTGACGGCAGAGGTTCAAGAACGATCATCAAATTCGCAATGCCCTCAATGGGTAATTTCCATTGAGGCCCATTGTCTATCATGAACGCACGTAAGCAATACTCAAATATGGAAGTCATGTTTCAATTCCAAATTGATGATACTACATGATACCTCCGAATCAATAGGGTCAGTTGTGTTGCTGCCCCACGTCTAGACACCTCAAGACAAACTAAAGGTAAGTAAGGGGTCATGAGAGATGACAGACCTCTGATCGACGAGGATCATTTTCTTAGCATCAAGAGTTTAATTACAATAATAACAATACAACCACTAAATGACCATCATCCATCCATTAGTTGCGTCTCTCACGCATCAAGTCATTTCGACATCCAAACCAATGGGGTTCAGACGAAGAAGATAATCCTATCGAGAGATGTGACAGATCTCTGGTCAACTAGGATTGTTCTCAAGGAATCAAAATTTTCATCATAATAGTATGGTACAAACACTAAGAGATTGCATCCATCCAAAAGCTGCATCACTCGTGCGTCAATTCAGTTCGACATCCAAACCGGTTGGGTTCGGGTGGAAAGGATAATCCTTGCATTAATCTGCGGCTTGATGGAAATCATTTCGACAGGAAATTCGATATTCCCACGGAATCATCAGAAATGGTTAAAGGTGGAGATGATCTAAGGATTACATAAAATTATCAGTAGCCAGGCAGCGCAATGTTAACAGTTGATAGGGCATTTGTTGGTTAGATTAGGTTTGACACATGATAAGATTGGAAGAACTAGTTCTTACCTTTGCATTTTTTGTGGAGATCTTCCAGCGTGCCTGGATTGTCTAATTTTGTGAATCTATTGGGAACCTGAGATGCTTTTATGTCTTCGGCGAATGAAGGCATGGGCGGAAAACCATGTGGAGGTTCCGGCGGTGGAGGTTGACTAGAGGCATGTACATTTCCCATTTTCGCTTGGTTACCGCACTGGAGGATTGAAAATATGTAAAGGGGAAACTAATAAAGCTATAATAAACACCGACGAACAAATGAATCAAACATAACTGACAGATTTAATAAAATAACGAGCCGAAAACTCTGCAATCAGTACAATCTAATCTGCAACTTGCAAGAATTTTTGGAAACACACGTCTCAACGGTTCCGAACAGTTTTTAGCATCATTCAACTTTGATGGGAAATTTGGGCGGGCTTTTCAAATCGGCGCTATATTTTGCAGTTCGCGTCATGAACTCATAGCAACGATTAGTAAAAAACTTCGAAAAAACTAGTCAGTTGTGCGAAGACACATCTTTAAAAAATCTAATGTAATGTTAGTTTTAGGAGCATTTATTGCGGGGATTTTTTGAGTAAAATTTATGAGAGGAATGTTAGAAACTCTTATAATATCAAATGAGGGGCTTGGAGTACATGGTACATAAATGGACTGTATTTTGCAATATGGAACTATAAATTCTGGCTCATCTGAAAAAAACACTTATGTGCATAGGAAAACTAATGGCGCATACGTTGTTTTTAAACCGGGCCAGAATTTATGGCTCAAATTGCAAAATGCAGTCCAAATGAAGTTTTTGCTATTTTGAGAGACACGTGTTTGAAGTTTCGAAATTACATGGCGGGGGAAAGTTCAAACTGACTTTTTGATGCTTAAAAATTGGAATTTGGGAGCAAATTCTTTACAGGATATGCATTAGGACAAGTCAAAATTGCACGTATGCGCCTTGTTCTCCAAGCCCCCAACATGTACTTAGTTTTCTAACATTGAAAATATTCGAATTTTTTAAGACTTTTTCGAGTAAATTTCACCAAGAGTTGAATTTTACTTCAGAAAATAGTCAAAAGAGGTTTCCTAAGACGGATTTTTCTTTTGATGGTGTGGAGGGCATATTTATGGTGCATCACTAAATTCTTTGTATTTTACTTCACTTCCGCTTCATCAGTGTCAATAGAAGAAAAAAATATTTCGGCTGGCTGAGTTCATATGTCGGTTGACCAGAAAATTCATGTTTTTCTCCTTTATAAAATTTTAGGTTTAAAAAATCCTCCCCCGAAAGCCCCTTGCTTGAAGGTGCTCTCAGGTAAATAGGGAGAGCAAAGCTTCATTAGAAAAGGTCTTCATTTGGATCAGAAAAGGTCTTCATTTGGATCAGAAAAATATGGTCATTTGGGACTCATATAAACTTTTGTACTATTTACACCCATATTTTGACCATAAATTTTAAACTCAAAGTCAAAGTATATTTTCTATGATTATTTCAATATGTTCTCTAAGAAAAAAATGTCATGTCATGATGCCCTTGAAAATTTCACTTTCACGCTTTTCAATTTCATTTTATGATTTTGAGGACTGCTTTTCAGAAATGTGTTAAAATGTTGTTCATAATCTACTTCGGTACTGTAAGATAGCACCCGTCGAAAGCTCAGAAGAAGTGGTCTGAAGGAAAATCAAATTTAAAATACTAATCAGTTGGTAAAATTAAAATAGAGTAATATTTATTTCAGAAAAAACATTTTTTTTTATACAAATTAGAGACTTAAGAGTAGTTATTAGCTTGAAACTTACGACTTAGTTGACACTTCAGAAAATGAAAAATTACATTGAACTATAATTATTTGCAAGCAATCACAGAGAATAACGATTTTAAAAAAGCTGAGGGTGATTTACATTATTACTTTCAAACAGCTTTGAAGTTGAAACACATGAAGTGCTCACTGAGACCATTGTATGAACATCTCTTGCGCTTGCATATTTTGAAGATTGAAAAATATGCTGATTCTGAATAGGAGTATCATAATTTGAAGAGATGAGAAAAGCTATATTTTATTACTGCAGAAATTTGAAAACTGAAATTTCCAGCCCTCAGTCAATTCGTAAAATTTTAAGGATTGAAGAAATGATAAAGAATTTTGGTATCTTAGATATCCAGAATATAAACCACTCAGGTCTAAACATAGTGAAAGCTGCGGGTGGAATTTACTTAAGAATATTTAGAATTATTTTGATTCAATTCTGTACGCTTTAGCATTTCATTAGTTCAGTCAAACTCATACAACTCTCACCAAAATTTTTTCAGTTCGGTTTTTTGGTTTTTGTTGAAAACATGGCTCTGTTGCGATTTCATAAGATCAGTTTAAGTACCCATTTAAATGCATTTTGAATTTTAGAAAAATCTTAAATCTTCCTACTTACTACAGCTCAAGGATTACTATAAAGTATGTATCAAGGAAACCCGATCATTGAAGAGAATTAACCTCACCATAACTGCTCGTATAAACCTGAAAGATACCCCAAAAATTATTTCTTTCCACTTAGCTATGACAAATTTGGCACAGTTTCGTCGTTTCAAAATATTTTACACATTAAAACTTCATTGAGTAAAAGCTTGCCTGGATCTATTAAAGACCTTATATCCATTAGGTTTTCTTAAACTTTTTGCAAAAACTTAAACCACGTTTTTTAACAACTTAGGAATTTTTGTCTCGGAACTTCAGGTCTCATATTTCCTTCAATTTATGAGCTTGCAGGGTCAAACTTGTGAACCAAATTTCCACATTTTTTCCTGTATGCATTTGCAGAAAGTTGAGGAAACTTTTCTCCCAGAATATGAGGTCCCTTTTTGCAAATCTAATCCCCTTTTGATAGAGATTTTTTTCCAGAAACAAAGATAACCGGCACAATATTAACTTGTTGGCTGATGGAATTTTGATTTACTTTTAATTTACTCACAAAAATCTACGCTGACAATAACTTTCCAAGTTAAAAACTACATTAGTTCACTTTCAATGACCGAACAGCTGCTATATTTGAATTACAAAAGTACAACTAATACGCTAACTAACTTTTGAGTTGTAAAGCTTTCAGTTACAATGGGAGAGCTGAGGGTGAAGTTTAACAAGTGTTACAGAGACGCCAAATGATACACCTTAAAAACAGGTATATTCTGACGCAAGTGATGGGGGTTACAAAAATGTGACTTCGCTTGAACGAACTAAAAAAAGTAAAAACTAATATCAAGGCACGAGCACAATTTGATACATACATAAAATTATCACAATACATTATACTCTTGAATACTACATCAGTTAACGGAAACTTTTGTCAGTTGGAATGCATTACATTTGGAAAAATTCCACTTTCGGAAACTTGAGATATTTCAACCTGTTCTATATGCTATAGTCAAGTCAAATTGTATTCAATCAATTAACATCCACAGCCTATGCCAGACAGTAACTTGGATCGCATTTAGCAAAAAGGAACCAGCGCAATAACACTGTTTTCAAAATTGTGCAAATTCTTCTTTTCTTTTGAAAATACTCAATATATGTATAGTATTAAAGTTTACACAATTATTTTCCTTTAAAATTGACAATTGTTCAGTGGGAAACAAGAAAAAATTGCTGTTCTGGGAAATTTTTTTAGGTGATTATGAAGAAACAACATTTATGCAACACTATAATCGCGCTGGTTTCTTTTTGCTGAATACAATCTACTTATGTTACTAATTTAATGTATTCTTATGATACTAATACTGCCGCACTGGTTCACTCATTTTCAGCCCAGAGGCATTTGCCGTTTTATTGAAACAAAAATAAGAGGGGGCAAGAAAAATAAAAGATTTCATGCTTCAATTATTGATATGCTCTGATAAATTTTTGCGAATGAATGGGAACAAAAAAGAAAATATAGAAAGAAAAAGCTTGAGGAAAGGCTATTTCACGCGTAAGTTTCATGGAGGTTGACTATTTAACAAATTTAGCTGACGGTTCCTTTTAGAAAAGTTCAAAATACTACAGAGACAAAAAACCAGTAAAATGATCAAAAAAACTTTTGGTTTGAATACAAAAGTTCGAAATTTTGCGGAATATTTTTGCAAAGAAAAATTTCTTTAAATCAAGAAATAAAAGGTGATTCTGATAAAGTGATTAAATTAAGTTATAATTTGTTGTAACAAAGTAGTAAGACATTGCATGTAATAATAATGCAAAAGAAAAGTAAAATTAGTTGAACGATGATTAAAGGAGATGGCACAATTGCTTGTAACAAGAAGCGAGATGATCCGTGTTTAAAAACTACCTCTTACAAAAGTAAGAACACAATGATACAAATTCTGCTACAAGAATTGTCTTTTCCTTAAAGCTATAACCAGGCCTTACATGCTCTTAAAATGAGGTTGAATTTTTAAATTGAAAATATAAATTGCTGATGTAACATTTTTTTTTGAGTTGCGGCATATTAAATTTCTCTTAACGAGAGGGGGAAAACCGGCTAAAGATAAACAAAAAGTGGACCTTAGTTCCTGTTTGAACAACATAGATTTTTTAAGTTAATTCTTAAGGGTTTAGAAATGTTGGATGAGAAAGTCTGTGAGAGATTTTCATGAAAACTAGTAATGGACAAAAGCATAGTGAAATTCATTATCAAATAAATGTCAGCAACTAGAACGATATCCATTTATTTTCACAAAAAAAAAATTGCAACCTCAAAGCTGAAGACACTAAAAATTCAGGAGTTAAAGACAAACAGTACAGAAAATTGTCATCTCATTAACGAAAAAAAGTTAATTTTGGTCGGTGTTCAGCCTTCTTCCTAAAATTTCAGAAGCCACCCTGGCCAGGAAGCCCAATTTTTAGAAGTCATCTACAACTTATGGGAGCCAAATCAACTTTTTGTATATGCCATGCTTTTCTGCTTTATGTCTCAGTCCTATTCTCACGCTACGCTGCTGTGCCGCAAACAGAGCGTTGAGATCACTACCGCTGTTTTGCGATTGTGAATTTTAAAAAATTGACAGGGTGCGTCAACTTTATAAAGGCGCAGCTCCCCGATTTTCCAGCGCCAATGACCGATTCTGAGGCGCATTTGACACATGGCCCCCAGAAAAGGCAGAACACTGATTTAGGTACAAGATTGACTTGCAAATGCATGATTGTTTTCTACAGTTTTTAAAGTTAGAGAAACATAAATATTTCTGTGGTTTTAAAGAATCAAGACAAAAGAAACTGAACAAATCAGACCCGTTGCGACTAGCAAGTGCTCATTTGAATAACATTAGAATTATAGAAATGATTAACATTTGAAAAAGGCAAAGACTTACATACTACAAAATTATGAGCTAGAAACGATGGAAATCAAAGACACACAACAATGAAAAGAGCTATAAAAAAGTTATCTCTAATATCACAGACAAAAAATTTCAACCAGAACAATCACTGCACTTAATTCATTTTCCTCATACAAAGGACTATTTTGAATGCCTACAGTATAGATTAAAGTTTTGTGACCAGACTAGACTGGACCAGACCAGTGCAAAACAAGACTAGCATTCATATCCCTTGAAATATTAAAATACTCACTGGACTGAACAAATTGATTCTTATCCGATGCGTTTCCGCCCTAATTGGTCATCATTTGGATCACATTTTTTAATTGGGAACTACAACTTCAGGCTTGCACATAAAAGCACCTATCTGCATTAGGAAACTTATGGCACATATGCTGATTCTAACATAAGCAGGAATTTTAGTTCCAATTTGCAAAATGTAGTCCATTTGTGATGCAACTTTCAAGTGGTGTCCTGGATGATTGGCAGCTAAAGCTAAATCGCAACGGTTAAGAGAAAATTTGTTCATACTAGTGAGTATTTTTCTTCTTAGTAAGATTTATGAAATGAGACAATCTTCCAAGAGAAAATTTTTCGCATAAACTTTTATCATGTTCCCCTCGACATAAGAATTTTTGTCTCGGAACTTCAGGACTCGTTTCTTCAGTTTCTGAGCTTTCAGGGTGCAGTCTGCGCCAAAAATTCCAAATGTTCTACCTTGATTCAATAGAAAAAGTTCTGAAAAACTTTCTCTCAAAAGATAAGGTCCCTTCTCACTGATCCGGTCACAAATCTTGCCTTTCAAACTTCCTGTTGTGTGAATCGTTTTTTAAAAAAAAGATTTTGCGGAGGGAATAAGCAACTTTCTTCTCGTTCAGACCCAGTCTAGTGGCTCATTTGCAGTGGTCAAAGATAGGAGAATAGCATAACAAACATTGCAAAACCAAGAAAAATTGTGGTACGTAAGAAAACGCCAGCCTGGATCAATATATTTGTGTGAATACAGCTATCAAAGTTCCTGTAGCTTTTATGGATTTGAATCAATGAGATGACTCTATTGGGTATCTGGTCAGAAAAATTAGAGCAAAAAAAAAAAAAAATCAGAATGAAAACCCAAAGGACAGAAATGTCAGTTGAGCAATCCTTCATGCAGAGTATTTAAGTGCAGTAATTGTGAGTAACTTAGAAGCACTGAATGCGATACAATAATAACAAATTTATGCTTACTAAAACAGAGGCTCTATTACTCGGCAAATGTAGCTGGAACAAACAGAAAAGAAAAAATGAAAAATAAACCGAGTGAATAAATTTTAATTTTTTTATTTCCTCTTTGCCGTTGTCTTTATTATTTTACCAAATACTGACTGAGGTAGATCGATGTAGAAAAAGAAATCAGTGAGAAAACTTTTAAATTAATTGATAGTTGTATAGGTAATACCAACAATTCTGTTTCTTTTCTTTCATTTGATCCACATTTTTTTCTGTTGGACAGATTTTAACGGAATGAGTCTAAGTTGTTTAATTTCTTCTTTCATTTTATATTTTTAACAAAAATCGAAGCAATATTCAAACATGACTTTTCATGAGTATATTTTCCATAATGCAGAGAAAATTTACCGAAAGTTTCAAGGCATTATGTTGTTTAGTTAACCGTCAAAAAATGAGACACAAAAAGAAATCACAAGAGGCAATCTTTCTAGTCAATGCTACAGGAGACTGATTGCGATGAAATTACCTTAGACATTTTAAGACGCTTTCTACACTTCTGAAATTTTTCATTCTCAAACTTTAACTTATATGTACTCTCATGCATCAATTTTTAGAATATTGAGCGCTTATAACACCAAATGATGCAGAATATATCTTACAAGCTGTGGTTTGGTTTTCTCAGTATTTTTAAATTCTCACTTACGGTCCCATTTTGTTCGATTCCATCTTTTGTAGAGATGCATAGAAGTGTAAATGCAGATTTTGTACGGTATGGCTAGAATAATTCTTGCCAGTTTTTTTCACATAACTTACAATTTAATTAAAAGGTTCCACTTACCGCTGGTCAAAGATTTTTAGAGTCCCCATTTACATGGCGTCACGCTGTAGGAGTGCCGTAGGTGGACACGGCTTTTGAGTCAAATCCTGCCTCCTTCTCTGGCCAGATGCGGATCATTGCTTTGAAGGATCCTCGTGGATCACGTTTGTTTGGCCACGACTCCCCCAAACTACTCACATCCACATCCATATCTTTGAATGTATTCAGTAAAACTATGGCCACGATAATTACGAGGAATCCACACAGGTTGCCGATTATATCCTGGACAAAAAACAAAGTTCTTCGTTATTTTTACACTGGAGTATAATAATCTTGTCCTCCAAGCTAATTGACCACAGTCTCTACAAGAGGCAATACCAGACTCCTGTTACGGAAAATGAGGAAAATTCGTGATCTACTTCTGGAATGAAATGAGCTGTGGATGGCAAGTGATGATTCAAGGAGGGACTTCATGACAGTGACAGTAGTTAAAGCACTGGGACTGAATTCAAACATTTTCAGGGTTTATGCAGCCAATAAAAATAAAATTTGAGCTAACTTTCGCCGAGTTGTTCATGCACTACCAAGCCACACGGCCACTAAAGAAAGCAAAACCTGCTAAATTGCCCGAAAAAGTCATAGTGAGGCTTTTCTCGGCAGTAAGCACAGGTATATTCTACTATGATCATACATGGTACCTTCACACAGAAAAAACTTTGGTCCAGGGAATGAAATGAGTTCAGTGACTGTTGGAGAAACTGAATCTTCAGTTGTACAAAACAACCTCTTAGGTAGACCGGAAAAAAAAAAACTTTCGTCCTCAAAAGATATACTTCACTTGGACAAAAGCTTGTCAGTTTTTTGAAAATGAAACTTCGATTCGCAAAATTGAAGCGTATGATGATTCTTCCTAAAAAGATCCAAGGGTTCTGAAGGTTCTGTCGCCTGAACAAAAAATTTACCACTTAAACTTAACTTAAGTCTTAACTTTCTGTCACATAACTCAGTTTTTTTCCCCATGTTGGACTGTTGGGGAAATTTTTAGGAAATATCATGAGCATGCAGGTAGTTTATCTGCCTGGAAAAACAGTATCACAGAATTATTTTTTAACATAAAGTCATGACATCATTTTTGCACTCATTCTTCAAGGTGGACGTGTAAACCATGTTTGACACTTGGAGACTCCAGTTGATCATTTATGAAATGCCAGCAATTCATTAAACCATGTGCTACAATCAACAAAATTAAAACAAAAAACTATTCCGCTTTTGTAGGCAGCACAAGAAATGATCAAAACTTTAAAAAAGTACTCACTTGGACGTCAATTAACTTGCAACTGACTAGAAAGTGAGTACTTTTTTAAATATTTGATGTGCTACAATACCTCGGTTTTTATAAAAAAAAAAAAGTGCATTCCTCAGTCTCAAAGGAACAACACAAATTTAACTACAATAAAAAAAAGCTAGCAACAAGGAGCGGGTGGAGTTTACAACTAGCTTTAGGTATTGTTTAAGTGTTGAAACGCAGGTATATGGGCACATTTAAAAACCCTTAAACATTAATCCAGCCAATCACCTGACTCTGCCCCTTAGGTTCCACTTCTTGTATTCGGACCGTAACTGAAACTCCAAAAATGGAATACTTACATCAGAACCTAAATTTTGCCACTCTTTGAAGAGAAGAGCGGAGGCTATTATGACTAGAGTGGTGAACATGACATAGTAAACCGGAGTGACGATACCCGTATTAAAAATGTCTAGGGCTTTGTTTAAGTAATCCATTTGAATCATTATGCAGACTATTACTGCAACAAGGAAAAGCCACGTTAACCAGTTTCCCGTTTCGTTTCTATAACCTGGAGGAAAAAGACAAAAATCAATTACTTAATTTCAAGATAGATTCAGATAAAGAATTTTAAATTGCACACAAATGACAACAAAAAAATTAGGGTGGAGTATGAATGTGATCGCCCTCCATTCTTTTGACTAGACAACAAAATCTTGTAACTTTGTTGGCAATTTTGCAGAGTTCCTGTCATACTTCATTTTTCCTTCAGGAATCTAGTCAACACAATTTTTTGAAAATTTCCTCAATTTTTCTTTCTTGTTAGTAGAATTTTCTGTATAAATTCCAAACTATAAATATGATAAAACCAATAGAAACAAAAAACTATACGATTTTTTCCTATTCCAGTTGATAATAATATTCTAACTCCACAAATCTCTTCATGAAAGGCATATAAAAATTGGGCTTTGCCGCCAAAAAATAGAGAGTACATACTTGCCAAGCAAAGGGCTCAAAGAATGGCAGAGCTTTCACTTCTATTGCATCTATCATCCTTGTTAAAAAGTTCATGCTCCATGATAAAACATCTTTAGAACTACAAAAATGGGACATTGGCGAGGAATTTTTGCTGGGTTGTAGTATACATTTTTGTGCGTCAAATTTTGTGAAAAAACCAAGAATTTCGTTGAGAAGTTCAAAAATCGTTTCTGAGGGGAGAAAAAACTAATCAATGCCCAACAAATCAAAAGCCAACAGTCGAGTTGATGTAGCAAAGCAAGAGTGATGAGGGGAACAGGTATTAATTTACTTCCTTCGTTGATAAAAGAGGAGAAAGAACAGAGGATGAGAGTGCATATAGTAGGAGCAGAATTGGAAGATATAAAGGCTCTTACCGGATAGAGTTTCTTTAATAGCTAACCCGAGGCCTTTACAAGCCATGACTGTTAAAGATCCAACAGCAGAGCATAAGGTGATGTAGACAGCAACATGCCGATGACCATATCGTGGCCCCACGTAGCAGGCAATAATCAGAGAAACCATCACAACTATCGATACGTAAACTACAAATGCTGAAAAATAAAATACACTGATTAAAGAGAAGATCTTTTGTTTCAAACTCTGAATCATGTTTTCTTTGTGAATCCTTGAGAAATCTAGTTTGGTAACAAACAGAGAATATTATAGTCCATGCTATGAAAAATGACAGGAGAGGGGCAGGCAATTCTTTAGAATTAATTTGGCTTAGGCTAGCGTACCTGCATATCAACCCTGAAACAATACACCAAGTTGGTGACTAGCTATGCCCACAATCCACCACTTTTTGTGGCATGGACAATCAGAAATAAACCTTTAGGCTGGTGATTTTAACAAAATCAGATTCCACTTCAACTGGGACTTTCAGCTGTATTGAAAATGAAAGATTATTATCCTCATTGCCTGCCTGAAGTTCGCCTAAAGTTGTACTGAAACCGATGTATTAAAGAGACTTCAATTATTGAGTAAAATAAAACAGGCTGTTTCAGTACAGCTTTAAATAACTACATATAATCCAATTTCAATTGTCTAAAAAAACAAACACTTATTCATTAACGAGCATGTCAGAAGTCGAGTCAGTTGATGAGTCAATTTTTGAGGTTTACACAAGTGAATATACATTTTTTAAGACATTTTGACCAGGCTTGCATGTGAGGGTTTCTGTTATTGTTTTTTATCATTTTCTTTTCAACTGTTTCCTACAATTTGAAATTCGAACAAAAAGCCTTGAATGAGTCATTTTATTATGTATACCTTGAAAAAAAAGGTAATTTCTCCCGATTAAACGAACGCTTTAAAATGAACTGATTTCTCACAGCTTAAAGTTAAGAAGTAAGCATCATATTTGTCTCATATGTATCATCGTTCATTGAGGTTACCTGGTTCTTGGATTTTTTCCAACAGAACAGAAAGATCTTCAACTTCTTCACTTCGAGGAGAATGAATAATGATCATCGTTGAACCGAGAATACATAAGAAGCAACCCAGCTGAAAACAGATATTTACAAAGATTAGTTTATTCATTTCCAACTCTGATATATTAAAGTTTTCATGCTCCATGAACTTTTTTCCATGATTTCTTGAAATTTCTTCAATTCTGTCTCTTGATCAGGATCACCACAGAATTTTGAACATTAAATTCTTTGACATTTGCCCGATTTCCTTGACACATTTTGGTAATATTCCCTGACAATTGAGGATACACTGGATGGTTAAAGAGACATTAATTGAAGTAGTATTCAGAAAAAAATGTGTTGTTTAAAATGTCAAAACCCATTCTAGAAAGCAAATGGAGGCAACTCAACAATTTTTTCCTGACACTTTTGTCATTTTCCCTGGCATTTACCGACTTTCCCTGACATTTCCCAGTTTTCCTGGTATTCCTTGACTGTGGCAACGCTGTTGATTCTGCCTTTTGATATAAACCAAACTTTCATGCTTCATTTAAAGTTCTTTTCGTAGTATTTTTTGCAAGACAGTTGAACAAAAAAGGGAGTAATCCTCAAAGAAGTCGTTTCAGCCCAGTCTATGAGGCAAGGTAGGAATATTCTAGTAATATCAATTTATGAGAAACATTCAAAAGAATCAGATTTGAAGTCTATAGGGTCGAGAGGTACTTTAACAAATTTTTGACAAGAAGGTACTTATTTAAATGATGAAATTAAACAGTAAAAAAAAAGAGTCAGGCTTCAAAAATTGAGTGTAAAATAAGAAAACGAATAAAAAGTAGTAAGATTATAAACCAACCTTGCCAAGAAGATTTAATCGTTCATTCAAAAATTTGGCTGCCAATACGGTGGTGACTAAAACACTTAACGCTCCCAGAGGAGTTACAAGAGAAGCTGGAGCGAATGCATAGGCAACAAAATTTGCCACTTCCCCGACACCCACTGAAAATAAATTGAAATATTGAAAATCATATTGAAATAAACTTGTAAATAATATGTTGATGAGGAAATTCAAATGCTATTGTGTTATAGATATACAAAATGATACGGGTATCACATTGATTGTTCTACAGTCGTATTTTTTCTTCTGTTTACAAAGAAGATTCTGAGGTAGAACGCTGTTTCCGAAAAAAACATTTTTGAAAAATGCTTTTACAAGAGACAAGTAATCTGGACTTGAAAAAAGGAGCATTGCGTCTAGAAAAACAGTATTTAGAGAGTTTTTATGACAACCTTTTTTCTGCAAATTAATATATTTTACTGAGACTTTTACTGTATGTTCTGTAAGAATTTACACTGCTTTTACCATGAAATTCCAGAGAAGTTACTCATCAATTTCCTTAAATTAGCAGATGACATTCTGAAAAATTGTAACTGAAAAATACCCTTCCGATTTCCTCACGACGTGTAAACTTGACATCCGCTATTGTTACATATAAGTCCTCATATGAGGAAAATTCTTCGAAAGAATTTTGGATAGATCAGAAAAGCCGTTGATTCTCAAAAACGGCGAACCCTGAGCCTATGGTTCAAACAAGTGCTGCAGAGTCCTTTGAGTGGTCTTTGAAATAAGAGAAGAAAAGGAATTCAACTTACTGGTCAATATTCCAGCCCACCACAGCCATTCTCTTAAGTATCCGAATCCTCCAGCAGATGCTCTTATATGTCCAGATTTACCCAGCTTTATAAGTGCTTTCTTTTTTATAATAAAACTGGAACCTGCAATTCACACGACAAGACAAAAAAATTAATATAAAATCTAAAATATAATACTTATATGAGTAAATATTTCATGAATGTTAAAGGCTGATCATTGCTGGCATTAGAAAATTTAATAACATTACCAGAATCAGCTTAGCTGCAAATTGCTTTGCAAAATGTTCTCTCTTGTTCTATTCTTATAACATGAAACTAGTCAACATAATGCCATAATACTTCCAGTGAATTTCTCCCAAAATAGAGGGAGTAATCTCACTTAATGTCAAGTCAGAATGTTACATAAATTTGCGATAAAAAAATAATAAAGAAAGATGAGATCAGACATCAGACGTAGCGAGACTAATTCTGGCTAAATTTGTTCAATCAGACATGAAAAATTATCAATCATGGAACGTAACTGAGAAAAGATATGGTTTAAAGCCCTCAGTAGCAAAACAAATTACCAATATATTGTGTTAACCTCTTCCAGTAAGAGAAGGGGTACAAGGTCTAACAAATTTCGACCAAGTTTTAAATAGACAGCAGGACTTCCAATTGGACGTATTTCTGCCAAACGGAGCTAAGTGCATTACAACATAAACCCTGTTATGCTTGTATTCTAATGGGTCTCAGGGCTAATGTTTTCATGCACACAGGTCCGTTTGACAGGAATACATCCAATTAAAACCATGCAGAGTTTAGGTTGAATGATAATGAATCGCAAGCCTCATTCCACAAAGGACGTTTCAATGAAATCCAATGGCTTCATTCATTGCTACATGGCAGCACAAGTGCAATGTCCGGCTACTGGAAACCACACTTAACAGGAGGCTTTTAGCTGTATATATTTGCTAACTGCAAAGCTTGGGCACTAAAAATGTAGAAATTGATGCCCTTCAGTTACCAAATGCTTCGACATTACCGTATGAAAGGTAGACGGCTAGAGCGTGATGCTGACAATGATTGGAGCATGGATGTCAAATTAGCAGACACAAATTGAGGCTCAGTATTGAGATAAAATATTTAATTGTCATTCCGTTCCCCTCTTCAACCCTGCGGGATTTCAACTTGTGGCTTGTTACATAACACTCTTAAAATGGCAATGACCTCTCAGTATGGAGGCCTTACATGGCTGTTCAATACACTGCCCTGGTAGCAGAAGCGAAAGGCTCGTTTTGAAGGCTAGTAGCCTGATGGCCAAAAATTTTAGCATTTTTAGATTGGGAGACTCACCGATGAAGATGCTTGAGCTGACAGCAAGTGCCAAACCGATGTAGAATTCCCTTGTAGCGTAGGATTGACTAACTTCTGTACTGGGCATTGACATTTTGAAGATTTAGGATGTGAAGTTAGGCACAAGGATTGAAAGTCCTCTTCAGAAAGGATTAATACATACAATTTCGAGTGCAAGGTTGCATGCTGAGGCAATCACGATGGAGTTGGAGTCTTCATTTCGCAGATAAGTTGGGAGACAAACTGGAAACAAACAAAACTGCTGTGCACTAAAAAGAGAATTTTTGGGACAAAGATCACTGCTTAAAGTAAACCAAAACGTACATTGCGCAAAATTACGTTTCCTACGATAAGGAAGTAAGGTGTGGAGGCAGAAAATGAATTCCTTTCAGCAGAGCTGATTACACACTGATTAGGAATCAAAATAATGTGAACAGCGGAATGGCGGAATCTGAAAAAGGAATTTCTTCTAATATAGTTCCGCATAGGAATGATAGTGAACCAAAAGTTGTTGATGTTTTGATTTTAGGTTAGAAAGTTCTGAACCTAATTTGAAGTTTCAGAGCTTTCAGTGATTTTGCCCTTTTGCATCTAGGTTTTCTTCATTTTTTCATGTGATACCAAAGTCTGTTACACCGTAGTGAAATTCAAAATTTTTTATTGGTTCCAATATAATAAACTTGTGCTTACTTAGTCATTTTATCATACCAACATACGTGTACCCACAGTTGACTTCCTTGCGCAGTGTTGATTTCACCTTTATAAGTTTAAATTTGTGCTTATTATTTTCTTTTCTCAAGTAATAACTGTCTCACTACCGGATTTACGTTAAATATGGTCATTTATAGTGTGTATATAGTCTCAAAGTCCGGCGGTTTAATCTTCAATCATGACCACAACTCGCCTAAAATAGAAGTTGAGCAAGCCTTCAGTTATCCATTAAATTTCACTTTGGCGTATGAAAAACAGAGGGTAGTCGTCACTTTTGGTCAAAGAGATGGCATCGTGGGTGAGTATTATCTCTTGGACTCCATTCTCAATTTGTGTAACCTCATGATACTTACTAGAGCTTGCCAATACCATCTCCCAATACCTGGCCATGGGTTTGAGGTTAAATGTTCGTAACTCCCGAAAACACACGGGATCGTATAGGGGAGGACTTATAAAAGTTGATTTTTTTACATGAGAAAGTGAATTTATTCTAGGCGTGGAATTTTCAGTTGAATATTTTGGCAAGTTTTATCGAAAGAAACAAATTTGTTCGGCAGAATCACATTTTAAATTAAGGAAAAAAGTATTAAATGCATGTCACTGTACTAAATGTATGGGAGATAACCGGGAAACGTATGCAACCCGCCAAACGTAGCCCGGCGGCTTCCCTTTGTTTTTGGGAGATATTACTCACACACTCTCACACGTATTCTCCAATGGCCAGGAATTCTAAGTAGGAATTGAGCTTGCGCATCGTATGTTGAGACAAACGTCAATCTCTGATTAGCTCTGAATTCGCCCCACTCAACAGGCCAGGTACATGTAGTCAGGTGACACCACTGGTGAATGGTGACGTAAACAATACTTTGACGTTTGTCTCAACATATGATGCGCGAGCTCTAACCCTAATTATCAATCAATTTTGATCATTGCGTCTGCCTACCATTCAGTCCAAAAAATCTTCAAAAGCTTACTATTTCTTGCGAGAGTGATTCACCAGATGTGTCAAAAATATCTATCAAAAGCACCCTTGATTTATGAAAGAAATTAGATTATTAAGTAGTAAAGGGCATTGTTGCTGGTATGCTGTCATTTTAATTTTTTCAAGTGATGTAAGTAATTTCCTCTCCTCTTTCAGTTGGACACTGTTTGGTCGCCATCAATGGTGTGCCAGTGACAGGGAAGCAACTAGATGATGGCCGTGATGTATTCGAGGTCCTCGCTAATTCAGAGAATTATCCTATCAACCTGAAGTTTGCACGACCGAAAATGACAACAAATGAGAAGATCTTTCTCGCTAGTATGTTCTATCCTCTGTTTGCGATGGCTGCTCAGCTTAGTCCGGAACCAAAAAGTTCTGGAATCGAGATGCTGGAAGCAGACACCTTCAAGTTACACTGTTATCAAACTCTAACAGGTAATCAATCTGATTGAATCAGTTTATGAATAACCATGACAACTTTAAAAAAAAGATACTTTTCAGAATACCCACAATCTTTCCTATCAGGTGGACACAAAATGGAAGTAATTCTGCCGAAAGGAACTAAGCGCCACTAGGGTTGAANGGGGGGGGGGGGGGGGCTGGATTGGCGGGTTCTGGTCATGGAGAAAAATAAGGAGGTGTTTGAATCTTAGGCATCTTGGATTTTTTTGATGATGTTGGTCAGTACGGATGACTTTTATCATCTATGTTCGTGGGAATGGTGTTCACTATCAAAAAAATTCATTCTATACTAAGTGTTTGAAATTATATCATGTGTTTATTTAAGCAAAAAAATCGGACATTATGATATGTTTTTCATACTTTGAATTCTGGATTTTGCTGGCCATGCTGTACCAACCTACGCCATGAGGTAAATAATCCTCAAGACGCAAACACCTCCTATACGCTCTCAATGCTTTTTGATGGCACTTAATTCCGTCTGACATAACGCACTATCCAAGATTCTAAAATCATCAAAAGGAACTGAAACTGGCACTTAGTTCCGTCTAGCAAAAATACACCCAAATGGCTCAAAAAGGCTTTTTTGTGGCCAAGAACAGGCACCAAGATATCTGTTAATATCACAGGAAATGAGCATCTTTTAAGACAGGAATCCTGGTTGGTTCCTCAAAGTATCGTGGTCAGTTCGTTTTTTGCTTACTGTAACAAATCTTTTCATAAGAAATAATATGCACTGCTTAAGGGACAGTTTCGGCAAACTCGGCAAACTAATAATTTTTGTACCACGAAATTTTCAGTCTAATGAGTCAGTTGCAAGGAATTTTTGCAGGGTTGTAGTACACTTTTCCATTGGTAAAATTTCGTGATAAAACCAAAAAAATCAGTGAAAAGTTTAAAAAATCATTGCTGAAGGGTGAAAATACCAAATTAAAATCTCTAATACGGTCAAATTTTTCATTTTCAGTTTTTTCATTTTTTTTTTTTAAATACTGCTCGATTTTTCTGCAAAAATTTTATGAAACATTGTCAAAAACGATGAGAAATAAACGACATGTAGAACAAAAACGATCATTCGTCCTTCTTCAGATAGTGAAATTTGCCAGGAAATTTGTAATGTTGCAAATCAAGATATGTGGTTTAGTAATTTCACCTTCACCATCGATTCTTCCTGCGCCTCCCTTAGTTTTGCAGCCGATGACACCGCGTAAGGCGGTGAGGTTCATCACGGCGCCTGGATGCGACTACTCGCACTCCATGGATGCGCGTGTTGCATGACAAAATTTGAAGGCGTTTTGGTTTTTCTCGCTCGCACCATTGTGCGGGCAATCCGCTTGACCGCGGGTCACGCTGCACGCCATCCGCTTGACCGCGGGTCACGCTGCACGCCATCCGCTTGACCGCGGGTCACGCTGCACGCCGCGCAGGTGCTTGAAAACCACCGCGGTGGCAAAAATACCAAATTACGGACCTCTAACAAGGAGAATTTTTCGGTTTGAAAATTCTCACTCGCTTCTTATTTTTTCTTTAAAACACTGCTCGACTTTTTGCGTAAAAAAAAATGCTGAAATATCATCTAGAACAACGAGAAAAAAACGATATTTTGGGCAATAATGATTATTGGACCTTCTTTGGACAGTGGAATGTGACAGCAGATTTGTAACGTCGCAAATCGAGATATGTGGTTTGGTAATCTCATCATTGAATCGTTCTCCGTTTCCCCCGGTTTTTCAACCGATGGATGCGCGAAAGAAGGCCAAGTTCTTCATAGCACCTGACCTGGATGAAACTATTCGTGCTCCGTGGATGTGCGTATTGCATGGAAAAAATTAAAGGCGTTCTGATTTTGGTTGCTCGCACCAATGTGCGTTTAATTCATAGGGAATTAGAAAATTGTGGAGTTAGGGAAAAGCGGAAATAGTCAGGAAATTACCTTGAAGATGAAGACGACACTGAAATAATGACACATTAGGGGGAGAATTTTCGTTTGCAGTAATTTGCAACGAAAAATAGCTCGTTTGCGGTAACTTTCTGAAAATTCAACGCCTTCGCGGTAAATTTCTCAAAAATTTAACGCTCACGCAGTAATTTTTTTAACAGTTCAACACTTTAACAGTAATGTCTAAAGAAAAACCCTTTCGTACCAGTTTTGTAAAAATCAGTGCGTTTACACTGGTTTAGTAAAAATCAGTTCGTTCGCAATATTTTTTACAAAAATTCAACATCCTTGTCATGTAAAAATCAGCGCGTTAAGCGTTCACTCTTTACTTTACTTAAGAATAAAACCGATATTTTGATTCGTGTAACTGAACATTCGGTTCAAGCTATCGAACTTTTTTCATCAGTTCTTTTAAGCACATTAGTTCAGTCATCCGAACTGAAAGTTGCGTTTGACGAACTGAATAGTTGGGATGATACAGAGCACGATGCTCTCCTTCATTTGTGGATGTGCAATTTGTCTCCTTGGCGGCCAAAATATTTGTATCAATCGTTTTGCCCCATCCAAAGTATTACCCATGCGTTTAAGTCTCTGAGTCAGCCGAAAAGAGGTTTTCCTTCATTTTGTGGGTACGCAATTTCACTTATTTGGATGTATCACGCGTTTTACTCTATTCAACTTTTCTACTCCTGCGTTGAAGTCCTGGAGTCAGCCGAAAAGAGATTCCTCTTCATTTCGCGAATAACTTACTTGGAAGTTGAAACAATTACATCACGCGTTCGCCTCATCATCTTTTCAACTCTGTGTTAAAATCTCGGAGTCAGCGGAAAAGAGACCGAGCTTTTTTCATTGTCATGGATATGCGAGAAAGTTTAGTTGCTTCATAATTGAACTGCGTTAAGCAGAAAGGAACCAAGCCACATTAGCTATTGCCAAATTCAATCGGGCAGTTTCATTTTTTACAAGAAAACGATTGTGCGACTTTTTATGCTCATTCCAGTAAATTTTCTGCATAGTACGAAGCAAATGCCTTAACATTTTCAAAGGAATCCGCACAAACATTCTCTAGTAAAAATTTAAATCATCCAGTTAAATTTGGCAATAGCTGATGTGCCTTGGATCCTTTCTGCTAAACGCGGTCCAATTGTGACCGGATCTATGAAAATGGACCTCATTTTCCGGAAGAAAATTTCCGAGACTTGCAACTTTTCGCGAAAAACTATCGAGGGATGCGCCTGCGAAACTAATGAATACTTCAAGCATCGCGCCGTCTAGTCTCCTCGAGATCTACAGTCTCAATCTCGGCTCTAGACTCGCGAGTCGCCGAGATGGGTGCGTTCAATCTCCTTTGCGAGAAATCGATGTATCTGCCATTTGAAGCTATGGTAAAGAATCGATTATTAAGGTGATAGTTGCGAACACCTGTCTATCGGTAACCAACACTTTAATAATCGATTCTTTACCATGGCTTCATATGGGGAAATGTTCCAAAATTCTATCCTCCTACGTGGCAAATGGACGCATTTATGCTAAAAGAAACTATGTGTATGGGGGTTGCGTGTGACATAGTTCCTTTTAGCATAAATACGTCCAAATATCCTCTTGTATCCTCCTATATTCAACCAATTTGTAATCAGTTCTAATTTTAAATTTCTCAGGAGTGAAATTCATGGTCGTTGCAGAACCATCGCAAGCAGGACTTGACTCTTTGCTCAAGAAGATGTATGAATTGTACGCAGATTATGCTTTGAAGAATCCCTTCTACTCTCTAGATATGCCCATCAGATGTGAACTATTCGATACGAATTTACAAGTTTTAATCGAACAAATTGAAAGGACAGGTATTACTAATGTGTGATGTACAAAATATATCTGTTTTCTCCAGTCCAATTATTTAATATCTGTCATATGTATAAAAACAATTTTAATGTATGTGTTTTTCTACTTTGCGATGAGCATGAATAAGAAGGTAGGAAGAAATGAACTTTGTTTTGGGGAAAATGTAATTAAAAACAAATCTTCATGTGGAAAAAGTTTATTTTCAAAACGTATGATGTTTGATTCATTGAAGGGATTTTTTAAAATCATTCATCTCATTAATTTGATTCCACCTTCTATGCAACCTCTAAAGATGTTTTACTTCCACATGCCTAAACAAAAATCACATTTTCATCACAGTTCAAAATTTAATTGAAGCAATGCAAAATTAGGCTTTACTTAATTGGACGCATTTCTATCAAACGGAACTATGTGCATTATAAAGTGAGCCCTGTTATGCATATATTCTTGCGGGTCTCAGGGCTTATGTCTTAATGCACATAGTTACGTTTGACAGAAATACGTCCAATTGTAAAGCAAAAAACTTAATCTGGCGAAAGATAAAGTTAGAGAGACTTAACATTCCTTCTTACATTATTTTTAAATCCTTAATTCAACGAGTTAAACGACACAGACGAAAATTAGTTGAATCTTTTTCTGTAAATTTTCTCTCCTGTATATTGTTTTTTACTTTGTTAAGTTTTTTTCTTTTTTATACCTTGCTCAGAGGTATCTATTTGTTTTAATTTATCATTTCCTTTCCCAAGTGTAAATATAGTCACATGCGTGCACATACTGTCCAGATTTTGTTTTTGAAATTGTTTAAAATAAATTGTTTACCCAAAAAGTAGTATTGATCTTGTTTTGCTTTATATTTTCCTCTTAAGTATTGTCATTTAAAAAAAAATTACTTTTCTCAAAAATCTGTTTCAAGCCATCTTCTCATTTACTAACTGCAGATTGGAATTTGTGCTTGCAAAATTTTCAGTAGAAATTGGTGATATATAAAGGAATATAGCAATGCATTATTCCTCCAGGTGATATTTCATCGCTCAAACCAGCAAAATCGCAATCTTAAAAGTATCCATCTGCTTAATTACAAATTTTCAAAGTCGAGTAGATTGTGACAGTATACTCAGTGTAATTCTCTAATAATTATTTTGGAGATTGTGAAGTGTCTTATGGGCACTTTGTGGGGAGAGTGGGATATCTAAAAAGAAAAAAATGTCCCATGTAATTTATGGACGGCCCTCAAGTTGTGGTATGGCAATCTGATTTTTTTCTCTTCAGCTAAAGGCATATATTTTTGCCTGACTCTGCACTGAAACAGGGCCGGATTAAGGGGGTGGCCACATGGGCCGCGGCCCATGGCGGCAAAATTAGGGGGCGACAAATTTTGCAATTTTTTTAAACGCAGGTACAAAAAATTCGGATTCCGAAAAAAATTTGAAACAAGAAAAGGTGACGAAATCTCTCATTTCCTGAGAGTTCATCAATTTCTAATTTTGTCGCATTTCGGTGATACAAAAGACTGCGCACCTTTAATTAGTCGAGTTTAGAGAGAAACCAAACCCGTAATTTGGCCTGGAGCGGCGCGGCGCAAAGAGAAATGATGACGTGGACTTGAGATGAAAAGGAGAAGCCCTCGACGCGGCGGTCGGTATGTAACACATATTAGCGCCTACGAGACTGCATGAATACTTCACGCATTGCGTCAAACACAGTACGGTCAACAGCGGTCGGCGCGGCGCGGCGTGAAACGCACAGTGCCTACAAGACTACATGAATACTTCACGCATTGCGCCAAATACAGTGTGGTCAGCGCGACACGGTATGGCACGGTGGCGCAAGCCACATTTATGTTTGTTCTTTCTTAATTATTTAGTTCATTCAGGGTCGGACTGACCATAAGGCCAATCTGCCATTGGCAGATGCACCCCCCTCAGCGCACCGAAGGCGCGCCCCTCTTCCGGCTGCTAGAATGATAATGAAGAAAATGAAGAAATAAAGAAAAAAAAGAAAAAAAGGGAGAGAAAAAAGAAGAGGAGAAAAAAGAAAAGAAAAATAAATAAAAAGCATGGAGAAAATAAAATAAGTAAAGAAAAAAATGCCTAAAAATTATAAGCAAACGGGAGAAGCTTTAATAGGAGTTATAGAGGAAAGTGTATTCTGTATGCTGTCCCCTTGTCTCATTTTTCTTTTCTTCAGCTACGTAGTATGTATATTCATCAGGGCCGGATTTACCTACTTGCCGCCCATGGGCCGCTTGTATTTTGCCGCCCCCTTCTCATTCGTTTTGAAACATCAATAAAACCGTCAAGTGGACGTGCCGGAGGTAGCGGGGTGCATAAAACGCGTTTACTCGTGTTAGACACATTTTTTGCGGAAGCCCTGTCAACACTACTAGCGAAAGTTCACGGAACTTTGCGCGAAAGTTGAGTCCCGTAAACCTATATCTTTGTGGACAAGGCTTTCCATTTATAAGCATTGAACGAAAAAATTAAGAAAGAACAAACATAAATGTGGTTTAATAATTTTAACTTCCGCCGCCGCGCCGCTCCGCGCTGACCGCACTGTCTTTGGCGCAATGCGGGAAGTATTCCTACAGTCTTGTAGGTGCTATGCGTTTCACGCCGACCGCTGCTGAGTGCTGACCGCACTGTGTCTGACGCAATGCGTGAAGTATTCATGCAATCTTGTAGGCGTTAATATGTATTACATGCCGACCGCCGCGCCGAGGGCTTCTTCTTTTCATCTCAAGTCCTCGTCATCATTCCTCTCTGCGCTGAGCACCAGGCCAAATTGCGTGTTTAGTCCCTCTCTTAATTCGACTAATTGAAGATGCTGTCTCTTGTATCACCGAAAAACAACAAAATTAGAAATTACTATACTCTCAGAAATGGGAGATTCTGTCCCCTTTTCTCATTGATAATTTTTTTCTCTGAATCCCATTTTTAGTGTATTTTCCCAAAAAAATACACCATTTTTATACCTACATTTAAAAAAATTGCAAAATTTGCCGCCATGGGCCACGGCCCATGTGGCCACCCCCTTAATTCGGTCCTGATATTCATTGTTCCCACTTTGTTTTAACATTTAAAAATTTAAAATTAAAATGTATTGTATTAGTTATTTGTACAATATACAGGGTCTGAAGTATTTCTTGTTTTCTTGTGACCCTCATTTTCCAACTTTCAGTTTTCAAAAGCATAATTTTGGATCTCTCGAGCTCTGGCTTGTTTCTTCCAGAGATAATGGTGCTTGGATGCCTCGAATTTTGATTGATCGATTTTACTTTTTTCATCTCACAATTATTCCGATACATTTATTATTATGTCCAATTTCAGAATTTTCCTTTGTAAGATTAATCGATTTTGAACCTGAAAATATCGTCAATATTCTACTTAGAAGAGTTTGATTTTTAAAAAATTTCGGCCTTTCCGAGAGAGAGAGAGAGAGGGGGGGGGGGTGTTCCCGCATACTCCTGAACAAAATATCACATTGCGCCCCCTTCCCCGGCTAAGGGTGTGCGCCCTCAGAGGTGCGTCAGTCCGACCCTGAGTTCATTTCTTACAAATGAAAGGCTTTGTCCCCACAGAGGTAGGTTTACGGAACTGAACTTTTGCTAGTAGTGTTGACAGGGCTTACGCAAAAAATGTGTCCAACACTTACTTGATGGTTTTTATTGATGTTTCAAAATGAATAAGGAGAGGGCGGCAAAATGCAGCCTGCCCATGGGCGGTAAGTAGGTAAATCCGACCATGCACTGAAAAAAAAAAAAAAAAAATTAGATATAAAAATAAAAATTGACAAGAAAAAATACTTTCGATTTAATCGGATTTTTGCTTGAATCAATAAGGAATCCGCTTAAATTAAGAGACTTAATCGAATATCTTTAAATCAAAGATCAGCACAGGAAAAAATGATCTTGCTGATTTAACAGTTGAATCGTTAAGAAAAAGTGTGAGGCATGTTAAATTGTATACTTTACAATGAACGCTACTTTAACCACGTGGTTAAATAGCATTTTTCATTGTAAAATCTACATTGAAACATGTCGGCCACTTTTTTTTAACAATTCATTCGTTAAATCAGCAAGACCATTTGACCATGACGATTGCCGAATTCAGGCATACACTGGAAAAAAAAACACATTGGATCTGGAGTCCAGACCAAGATCCATCCATATAGGTCAGTCATTGCGCAGATTTCCCCGCTCGGGGTAAGCCCCTTTCCATTGGCTCGTGACGTCAGCATTACTGCCGCGAAAACCAGAAAAGTCGGAAACAATGCTTTTCTTATGGGAGAGAGCAAATTTTTCTTAATGAATCATTTAAATTTCTTACTTTTAAATCCTTTGAAACTTTCTGTGTGTCGAAAAGAACGTTTAGACATTAGCATTCAGGGTTTCGATTTTGCCGAATTTGTGTTCTTTCATTTTTACAGTTTACTCTGCATCAGCCATTTTTACACGCGAATCTATACCACTAGATGGCTTGTTACATCGCTGACTTCAAAAATCATTTAAAATATAAAAACGCAAATTCAGCTGAATTGAAACCCTTGACGCTAATTTCTAAACGTTCCTTTCGACACTCAGAAAGCTTCAAAGAATTTAAAAGTAAGAAATTTAAATGATTCATTAAGAAAAATTTGTTCTCTCCCATAAGAAAAGCATTGTTTCCGACATTTCTGGTTTTCGCGGCAGTAATGCTGACGTCATGCGCAGAAGATTCTCATTTGGGTTTCGGGAATGACTGACCTATATGGATGGATCTTGGTCCAGACTCTTGAAAACATTGACAAGAAAAAATACTCTTGATTCAATCAGATTTAAGTTTAAATGAAAAGGCAATCCGCTCAACTTAAGAGGCTTGGTTCTTGATTCAAGCAAAAATCCGATTGAATCAAGAGAATTTTTTCTTGTCGATGTTTTTAAGAGTCTGGACTATAGATCCAATGTGTTTTTTTTCCAGTATAGATATTTTGCAAAGATGATAATTAGCATGCTTCTAAAAACATTCCGATGAAAAGCCTGCTCTCACGAGGTCATAGAAATATTTGGTGTTGTTGAATTGTGACGTGTAACATTTTTGGGATTGTTTCGGTAATCGCGGCGGAGCGCCTCCCGCTGAGGCGGAACTTTTGACAGCGGGGAAAACATAAAAACCAGCGCCGTAAAATCAATGACTCCAGATATAAAACACTTCCAAGAGGTAGAGCAGCCAGCAACCGAGTGCAGTAATGGGCCAACGAAAACATCAAGCTCAGTTACCATCCCAGGAGAGGGTGGACGTTGTATAAGGTTTGCATTCCAAAAATTCCTCATCGCTCCGACGTTGCTAAATTTCTCAAGAAAATTGAATGGAGGGAATGGGAAATGCTTAATGAGAATACCCATAGTGAAAGTTGGAAAAGGCATATCCATGGTTGAAGCACGAGACCACTTATCTCCGTTTGCAACGTTGCAGCCGTCCGGTCATACTTTATTTTTTCTTTGGAAACTGACTTTTAATTTTAACCTTGGAAAACTGAACAACGTATTCTCTGAAAAATTGTCTCGATTTATCCTCTTCAGTGAAATGATCTATACAAATTTCAAGCTCTAAAGTTGACTTGTTCCTCTTCGGAAAAATAAACTAGAAGTTAAAATTTTGAGGCACTGCAATGGAGATAGGTACATCGTATCAAAAGTACAACAAAAGGACTTGGTCAAACTTAAGTTTGAATATAATAATGTTGGCCAAACTGAGATTTGCCTTAGACTGAGAAGATAATTCGTTATTATAAGAATAATTAATTTTGAAAAAAAAGTAGGTAGTTGCCCAGAGGCAGACTTGAAAATTAATT